GAAATAGCCCGTGGGCTCCTGCATCCACAGTCAGCAAGTGGGGAGGCTAGTCTTTGGCCTCCAGACAATCCCCTGAGCATTCCTAGCAGTGAGCATTCCTAGCATTCCACACACTGCCTGAAGGGGAGGCACCCAGAGCCCCCCAGAGTGGGGGAGGGACACACTCACGTCCCAGGAGAGTGCCTGGAGGAAGGGCCTGAGGGCAGGGGCCTCACCTGCTTTGGGGCCCAAGATCCCCTGGAGTAGGAAATGGCGGCCACTCCAATATTCTTGCCTGGAAACCCGTGGACAGAGGAGCCTGGTGGGCCGTGGCCCACGGGGTCATGAAGAACTGGACACGCCTGAGCTACTGAGCCCGAGCATGTACTTCTTGCACCTCTAAGTCAGCCTGCCTGCTTGTCTGGGGTCCTCCTCTCCACCAGGCTAAATGAGATGTAAGGCATGCAGAGGTTTACCGTGACGCCCAGTATACAGCCACCGCTCAGGAAAACCCGTGCTGTTCTGCTTCTATTATTGCAGCCACTTAGAATAATCGTCAGGTTGGTGAGGGTGGGCAAGGGCAAGGGCACTGGGAACTTGGGACAGAGGCGCTCTAAAATCCAGTTGGCTTGGATTCGCGGCACAGGCCCACTGTGTAGGCATGAGTTTAAGATTCTGTGCCCTGAGCCACACAATCCTCATAGCCCACGCCCAGCTCCCCAGGGCCCCGATTCCAGTCTCCATGGACACTGTACCCAGCACCTCGTTCTACCAGGAGAAATCTTGGCCCCAAGGAGAAGTGTCTTACCTGGCTCTGTACAACATGTCTGCTTGCCCTCTGTCCCCTTCCCAGAAATCCTTGCACTTAGCCGCTTCTGAGCCCAAAGTCACACCTGCTAAGCTGTGGGTGATGACGAGGGCTTCCTTCACCAGGGAGTTTGTGCTTGGTTAAGGTGACAGTGAGTTTCAAGGAGACCAAACACTTGAGACCCAGAGGAATGTGTTGCTAACCATGGAATGTCACAGCAGGCAGGGGGATCTGTCCACATAGGGCCGCCTTCCCCACACCCTATTCTGTCAGGCAGGGGGATCTGTCCACATAGGGCCGCCTTCCCCACACCCTATTCTGTCAGGCCTGAGGCTCTAGTTTCAGAAGCTCCCTCTTCTTGGGTCCACGGGTTCCCACCCTTCAGGAGCAGAAGTGGTATAGTGCTCAGGAGGAGAATGGGGCGTAGAACTAAGATGGATTGACTGGGAGCAGAGCATCTCTCTGGGGGCCGGTGGGGCCCTGAGGCCTTGGCCAAGACCCTTACTATTCCGCCATCTTTTGGTACCTTCCAGAACAATGAGTGTCAGCCCCAGAAACTCCAGGTCTGACTCTGTCCTTAGGCAGGTTTCTCTTCAGGAAGGCCTTCCTCAAGTCTGTCCCCCACCTCCATCCCCATCCCAAGACTCTTAAGGGTCAGGTCACCTCGACTGAGGGATAGGATGGGGTGGGATAGGTCACAGCACTGAGCCTCTTAAGACAAGAGACTGCTCTGTGGCACTAGCTAGCATCATGCTAGCCTGTCCTTCCCACTTTCCATTCTATTCAGCGAAGACCTTGATTTTAGTTGCTAAGCAACCTATGCTAGGTTTCCAAGTGGGTCATCCCTCAAGTGAACACAGGAGGGGGAAGGTAGGGGTGACAGTGCTTAGAACTCCGCATTTTATAGATGGATACACTGAGGCCCAGAGAGGTCAATGGACTTGGTCAAGGTTGCACAGCCAGTGAGTGCCCCCTGTGTCAGATGATCAGCTGGGGCAGCAGACTCTCAGGATCCCATCCCCATCACCCCACCCCCGCCAAGTAAAGCACCCAGTTGGCAGCAGCCACACCAGAGGGACTTTTCTTGGAGGCTCATGTCTATCCAGACAGGGATGCCGGATACCCAGTGATGAAGCACAAAGGCTGTGGCATTGGTTGGTCTGAATTCAAGTCCCAGCTCCACCATTTCCTCGCCACATGCTTTGGGCAAGTGACCTAACTGTTCTGTGCCTCTGTTTTCTCATCTGCAAAATGGGAGAAATGCTACTGTCTACCCTAAGGCTGTTCTGAGGATTTAGTGATGTGTTACATAAAGACTGGGAGGGTGCTTGGCACAGAGCAAGTCTCTCTCTGTGTGTGGGCTCCCCACGTAGGGCACCAGCCATCCATGCCCACACCCCCAGGCATACTCCTTTATCTCAAGGGAATTCAGTCCCAATTTTATCAGTCTTATGAGGTTACAGATCTAGTACAAAAAGTTTCAAACTTTAATTTTCAACCCTGGAATATTTTGTTCAAACAAAACGTTCTTAACTTCTGAGGACAGCAGGCCTAGACACATTTGGCTCTTTGGAAAAGCCTGTGGACCCTTTCAGGGGCTTCCTCAGGGTAAAGAACCTGCCTGCAATGCAAGAGACCCACGTTCAATCCCTGGGTCAGGAAGATTCCCTGAAGAAGGGAATGGCTACCCACTCCAGTATTCTTGCCTAGAGAATCTCATGGACAGAGGAGCCTGGCGGGCTACAGCCCATGGGATTGCAAAGAGTCAGACATAACTGAGCAACTAAGTGCACACACACACGGACCCCTTCACAGAACAGAGGTTTTCAGTACATAAAATAAAATATACAAGATTGTAAAGAAAACCAATTATATTGAAATTTAGTTATCAAAATATATACCAGAATTGTGATCTAGTAGTCAATGTGCTTTTATATTAGTACATTAAATAACATGCTCAAGTGGACAGCCTAATCAGTACTGTAGTTTCAGAGCAGTAATGAGCGTAAACAATATTTGAGATAACTCTAATAGACTAAGGTGATCTGAAAATACCTGTGAAGTCTATTGATGAAAAAGTTACAGGTTCAGCTAGTGCTTCTGGGTTTGTTGCTTCATTTATAAACAAAGGACATGCAAAATACAGTTAGAAGTTAGTGGAAATGTAGACATGATTTTCCTCCTAGCCAAGCTCACTGACTTCCTAAAGGGTCTGTGGACCCAGGATAAAGACCCCTGACATAAAATCGCAGGTAGATGATAATTGTATTAAAATTGAGACAAGCAGAGCTGCTGTGGTGGGAAGCTTGGTGGGGAGGGAGAAGTACAACCTGCCCGAGCACCCCTGTGAGGCACCCCCAAATCCCAAGCTTTGCTGGCAGTGGGGAAGCCTGATTTCTCTGACTGTTCTTTGTGACTTTGGGCAAGTCCTGCTGCCTTCCTGGACCTCACTTTCCCCATCTCTAAAATGAGATGTCAAACCCATTGTCCTCTGAGGTCTGTCTCGTCTGGCTCTCACATCCCGGGAGTCCGTGTCTCTCCTCCCCTGGAGACAAAGGCCTCAGAAGCGTGGTTCTGCAGGAGCCCTGGACCAGGAAGAGGGAACAGCTGGGGCCAGGCTGGCCAGCTCCCAATTGTTCAGGAGAGGAGGAGGAGGAGATGCATGGTGCTCTCCAAAGTGACAGCTGGGTGAGCCTGGCTGGGGGCCTCATCCTCGCCTGCCATCTGTGCCTCCTTCCTGCAATCGGCAGGGGGGGTGGGGGGAGGCTGGGGGGTGCAGATGGGGCCCAAGGCCAAACAGCAACCTGGTGGGCGGGGGAGGGGCTGCCTGAGAAAGAGCCAGGGAAGAGCCCGGTTGCTTCCCCTTGGGTGCTTAACTCTTTCCACCCTCCCTTCTAGAGAAGGGAGGATATATAGGCCAGGGTCCAGTTAGGCTACGTCATGGCTGTGTGACCTTGGACAAGTTGCTCAACCTCTCTGAGCTTCCCTTTCCTCCTCTGTCCGACAAAAGACATAATTCCTAAGACTGCTCATTAGATAGGAACAAGGATTAAAAAATAAGTAAATAAATAAGGAGCAAGGTTTAAATAGCACAGGGTAGATCAAGTACCCCAAAACGGCACTGACGGTGGTAGGTAACTTCCCTGTGGCTCAGTGCTGCCCCCCCATCCCAGAGGCCTTGTTGCTGAGGATTCACACCTGAGACAGTGAAAGCACCCGCTGATTGGAAGGCAGCCCTGAGGCTGTGCTGAGGCTGGCCAGTCTGTGAGTGCTCTCAGCTCCCCCGGCCTGGGGGACTTGGCTCTCCTCCACAGCTTTGCTCCGGCTCTTCCCCTCTCTGGGCTGCCCCTTCTCACCAATATCCACATACGAAAATCTCACCTCCTTAGAATAACGTGTGTCTATAAGCATTTCTTTTCAGATAGGTAAAATCTCCATAAACTTGAGAAGCAAAGGACCTACAGTGAAAAGCCTGCCTCTCATGCTTAGCTTCCAGTGACTCAGTTCTACCAGGAGGCAACCAGTGCTGCTTCTCAAATGTCTTTCCTGAAGTATGTATATATATTCACACACGCACTTACCCCTTTTTACACAAAGATAGCACAGTACTTATGTTGTCCTCTGTGTATCTTGCTTTTTTCCTGTAATTATGTATCTTGGAGATCTTTCCATGTCAAATACAGAAAGTTTCCTCACTTGTTTTTGCAGCTACACAATATTCCCTTGTTTGGACGTACCACCATTTGTTGAACCACGTATTTCCTGCTGAAGAGTGTCTAGATTGTTTCCAAACTTCAGTTTCACAAACAATGCTACAGAGAACTATGGACATACCTTGTTTCACATATATGTGTAGAATAAATTCCTAGAAGTTGAATTGGTGGTTCAAGAGGTATGTGCTTTCTCCCAGGAAGCACACACACATGAGAGTTTCTTCCTGACATGGTAGTAGGCATAGATTGTTAAATGGGACACAAAAAACAACCATTATAGGGACTTCCCTGGTGGTCCAGTGGCTAGGACTCTGCACTCCCAATGCAGGGGGCTCCAGGTTTGATCCCTGGTGGGGGAACTAGATCCCACATGCTGAAACTAAAGATCCCAAGTGCTGCCACTAAGACCTGATTAAGCCAAATAAAAAATAGATATTAAAAAAAGTAATTATAAAACATTGGATAAATTAGACCTTATTAAAATTAAAAACTTTTGCTCATCAAAAGGTCTCATGAAGAAAGTGAAAAGGCAAACCACAGGCATAGGGACAATGTCTGTAATGCATGTATCTGAGGAAGGACTGGTACCTCTAATACATGACTGAATTTAAAAATGGTCAAAAAATGGGGTGTGTAAGACTCGAATGGGCATTGCATGAAAGTGCGATGACCGACTGCTGTAGCTCCTGGTGGTTGTGGCCGCTTTGCCGGCGACTGTGAAGCGCGGAACTGCTCCTGTGGAGGCCGTTGAGTCTGCCGAAACTCGCCACCATGAGCAGCACCCTAGCTAAGATCGCGGAGATCGAAGCCGAGATGGCTCGGACTCAGAAGAACAAGGCCACAGCACACCACCTAGGGTTGCTTAAGGCTCGTCTTGCTAAGCTTCGCAGGGAGCTCATTACTCCAAATGGTGGTGGTGGTGGAGAACCAGGAGAAGGATTTGATGTTGCCAAGACAGGTGATGCTCAAATTGGGTTTGTGGGGTTTCCATCTGTGGGGAAGTCAACACTGCTCAGTAACCTGGCAGGGGTATACTCGGAGGTCGCAGCCTGTGAGTTCACTACTCTGACCACTGTGCCTGGTGTCATCAGATACAAAGGTGCTAAGATCCAGCTTCTGGATCTCCCAGGTATCATTGAGGGTGCCAAGGATGGGAAAGGTAGAGGCCGTCAAGTCATTGCAGTGGTCAGAACGTGTAACTTGATCTTGATTGTTCTGGATGTCCTGAAACCCTTGGGACATAAGAAGATAATTGAAAATGAGCTGGAAGGCTTTGGCATTCGCTTGAACAGCAAACCCCCCAACATTGGCTTTAAGAAGAAGGATAAAGGAGGCATTAATCTCACAGCCACTTGCCCTCAGAGTGAGCTGGATGCTGAAACTGTGAAGAGCATTCTGTCTGAGTACAAAATCCATAATGCTGATGTGACTCTGCGTAGTGATGCCACAGCAGATAATCTCATTGATGTGGTGGAAGGAAACAGAGTCTATATCCTGTGTATCTATGTGTTAAATAAGATTGATCAGATCTCCATTGAGGAATTGGATATTATTTATAAGATGCCTCACTGTGTTCCCATCTCTGCCCATCACCGCTGGAATTTTGACGACCTGTTGGAAAAGATCTGGGACTATCTGAAACTAGTGAGGATTTATACCAAACCCAAAGGCCAGTTGCCCGATTACACGTCCCCAGTGGTGCTGCCTTACTCCAGGACCACAGTGGAGGATTTCTGCATGAAGATTCACAAAAATCTTATCAAAGAATTTAAATATGCTTTGGTGTGGGGTCTCTCTGTGAAACGCAATCCTCAAAAAGTGGGTAAAGACCATACATTGGAGGATGAAGATGTCATTCAGATTGTGAAGAAGTGATGCCATCCCCTTCCCCATCTGCCGGGCCAACCCTAGCAGCTTTCTCCATGATCAAACACCTGACTCCAAGCCCCTCCTGGGTTTGACAGGCTCTGGATCAGGATACAGGGAGGAAGATGGAAGCACCCAAATTGGAACTTCACTTGTCTTAACTTGGTGTCACCTTATGTGTTGAGCTGCATAAAGGACCTGGTAGGCCAGCTGACTATGTAAAAAAAAAAGAAAAGAAAGAAAGTGCGATGACCAATAAACCTCTAATGACCACTAAACCTATGAAAGGTGCTACTTTCTCAGAGTAGGTTTAATTAGCATTGTTTATCAAGACTGAGGCCGAAAATCTCTGTTTAACATTTATTTGCCCTTCATTTTTGTGTAGATTGTTTATCCTCATGATATGCCCATTGTTACCCAGGAAGATGCAAATGAAAACCATAAGTTATTACTATATACACACCAGAATGACCAAAATTTAAAGGACTGACAATGTCAAGTGTTGGTGAGGAGCAACTAGAATTCTCCTATTTTGCTGGTGAGGGTGTAAAGTGTTACATCTACTTTGGAAAACTGTTCCACCTTGTCTGATAAAGTTAAGCAAATCTCCATGCTATGACTAATCAATCCCATTCATAGGTTTATACCCAAGAAAAAAAGAATACACGTATCTACAAAAAGACAAAAAAAGACTCGTAGAAGCATGTCCATAGCACCTTTATTCATAATAGCCCTAAATAAATACCCTTCAGCAGGATAAACAAATTGTGATAGATTCATACAATAGAACAGTACACAGCAGTAAAAAGAAATGACTCCTGTTACTTACAGCAGCGATGATGGATCTTTAAAATATGCTGAGAAGAAGCCAGACACAAAACTATACATGGTGTATGACTTCATTTATGTACAGTTCAGAAATAGGCAAAATCGACCTGTGGCATTGGAAGTCAGAACAGGGGCTGCATTTTGGGTTGGCATGAAGAAACTTTTTGGGTGATAGAAATCTTAATTTCAGAGGTAATTACATGAGTGTGTACCTATGTACCAATTTACGAAGTTATACAGCTGAGATCTCTGTTTTTTATCAGATATAAATATGCCATAGTTAAAATTTTTAAATTAAGAGGGAAAAGATATGTGCTTTAAAATTTTGATAGACATTTACAAAATTGTCTTTTATTGAGGTTGTAACAATTTATATTCTCACCAGCAAAGTATACATGTGTGTATTTTCCTACACCCCTTGAAAATGGAATATTACCATACTTTTAAAATTTTTGAGAAGATGATGAGTGGGAAACTTTACCGGAGTAACTTCATTTAACATTTGATCAAAAATGAGGTTGAAACATCTTTATATGTTTAAAATCTATTTACATTTCCTCTTTGTGTGAATTGTCTATCCGTATCCTTTACACTTTTTTTCTATAGGACAATTGATTCCTTTCTTATTGATTTTAAAAGTTCTTTATATATTAGGGAAATTAGTCCCTTTTTTAGGATATAAGTTGCAAATATACCTTACAGGTGGTGCTTTTTGCACTGGAGATTTCCTCTTTTAAATTTCAAGAATTCCAATTTACCAATCTTTTGTGTCTTCTGAATCTTGGACTATGGTTAGAGTCTTTTCCTTCTCTGAGGTTATAAAGTAGTCTTCCTACCAGGCATTCCAATACTTTGATAATTTCATTTTTATATTTAAACTTTTGTTTGATTTGCAATTTATCTTGGTGTAAAGTAGGAGATATAGATTCAATTTAATTTTTTTCCAGGTTGTTATCTAGTTGTCTTAATACTGCTTAATGAAAAATCCATCTTTCCTCTGCTGATTTGAAATGGAGTTTTTACTCAATTCTACATTTCTGAATTGTACTGGGGTTTTTTTATGGACTGTCCATTCTTTTCTACAGACCTGTCTGTCTGTTCATGTACCAGTATCATATGCTGTGTTACTACGGCTTTATAATATGTAAGCTAGTCATCATTCTTCAAGGTCTTTTCTCAAATGTTGGCTGACCCTCATTGCTTGTTTATTGTAGTATTTAATTTTAGAATCTGCTTATATAGATACAAAAACCCTCTGCTATTTTATCAGGCTTATATTCAATTCATAGAATAAATTAAAGAGTATAGACAGCCTTAAAATGTTGAATTTAACTATCTGTGAACATAGTTCATTTGTTCTGGTCTTTTGTAGGCTTTTCTAGTGTGTTAGAATTTTTCCTACATCTTATACTTGTTACACGTATTTAACTTTTTTCCCTGCTATGGTAATGTAGGGCCCTGTTTCCATCGTATCTGCTAATTGGTGATTAAACATTTGAAAGCCACTGGTTTCTCTATATTAATTTTTTTATCCCCCCCATGTTCCTAAATTTGCTGTTTACAGTAGTTTTTCAGTGGTTCTCTTGGGTTTTCTGGGAGTACTATCTTATCATTTGTGAGTAGTGATAATTTTACCTCTTTATAATTTTTATACCTCTAGTATCTTTTTCTTTTCTAATTTCATTGGCTAGTATCTCCAGGAAAGTGTTAAATAATGGCAGTGTCTTATCCTGAGATAATGGTGGTGATATGTCAGATGTTTATCTGTTACATACTTTGGGTTGGGAAAGATAGCTTTTTTCTGCCAACATTTTATTATGTAACTTTTCAAACATACGTCAGAGTTTAAATAGTTTTGCAGTGAACACCACCTAGATTCTACTATTAACAACTTACTCTACTTGCCAAAACTAGGTGTCCCAGTTTGAGGTAGAGAAGAGACTTCAGACAGAGAATCCCTTGGTGACATTCTGGGCAGCTGGCACAAGACCCGGCATATGCTAAGTCATCAGATGATCTCAGACATTCTGAAAGTGAAGGAGAGGGGAGCTGAGATTTTAGGACATGAGATTTTAGGACATGAATTGGGTGTGGTGATGCTCATGTGAAAGCAAAAGGTGACAGCCTCCCCCACCGCTAGTGTTCCATCTTCTAGCACCCAGGCAGGGGCTGGTAGCATTTCTAAGAGACAGTCTCTTTCCTGACAGCTGGTGGGAATCTCCTTTCTTCCTTTCTTTCTCCCTCTCCTGCTCTCCCAGCTGAGCCCTCCAGGCTGAGCCCCAGACAAAGAAAGGGAAATGGCCTGAGAAGGTGCTTCCCTTCTCCCTGAATGAGTTCTTCCTGGACAGCTGGAGTGGGCATCAAGGTGAGGCATGTGGGGCTGGGGGATGGGGAGTGGGTGAGGAAGGGGCCAAAGGGGCTTGTGTCTCTCTCAACTCCATGGTGGGCAGGAGGCTTCTGCATTGTCTTTTTAAACTTACACTACTGGGATCACCTCCTTGAGAGATTATACATAAGTAATACACAGCTTTCTGGTTGGAAGACTTGCGTCCAAATCTTGGCGCCAGAAACTGGCTATGTGACTTTGGGCAAGTTACGAGTCTCAGCTCCTTCTGGGGTTCATGAGAGGATCCACAGTCACAGTGGAAGGGCCAGTCTGCATGATGAGCAGGCACTGAGGTCCTTCTCTCCAGCCTCACCCCTTCTGAATCTCCTCTCGCTCCTTGGGGCCCTGAATTCTCCTAAGGCTTCCCCTCCCTTTCCGGGTTAAGTCCGCACCTCCCCGGCTCCACTGAATCTCCCACTCCTCCTTTGAGATTCACCACATCCTCCATCCCAGCCTTGAGCCACCCTGGCCTTTCCCACCTCCATGCCCTTGCCCAACTCCTCACATGGCTGACGCCTGCCTGTCCTGCCCACTCAGCTCCAGGGCACCACCTTGGAGAAACCTCCCGGAGCTATGTTGCTTCCCCCTCTGATCTGCCAGCTGGTTATGCTCACACCCACCCCTGCCACTCCCAGGGCCTCCGTCTGTTTCACACCTGTTCCTGCTACTACCTGCTGGGCTCCTTGAGGCTGGGGACAGTTCCCACTCATCCTTCTCTTCCCAGCAGCCAGGGTTCCACCAGGACACTAGACCGAGATCTTTTTGGATGAGGAAATCTTTTGAGGCTCAGGGTGGTGCCGTGTCTTGGCCAAAGCTCCAAGGCTGCCTGACTACAGATCTTTGAAATTAAACTTCTGGACCAGGGATATAATGGGTGAGCTCCCATGGACAAGGCAAAAGTTTCCAGCAGGTCCCAGTCAGGCCCCCAACATGACTCAGCCTGCTTGAGTGTCTGGGAGCAGAGTTGTGTGAACCAGCTTTGCACCAGGCTTCTCTGCTCACCCACATGCTCCTTCTCAGCCTCAGGTTGCCTCATCTGTGAGATGGGAGAGTGCACTGAAGCCTGGGGTAATGCGGCCTTGCCTCACACTGCAAAAATGCAGAAAGAGCCTGTTCTGTTCTTGTGTGGAGGCAGTCGCTGGAAAGGGAGACTGCAGACCAGTTAAGTCTGTCTCTTTAAGAAGACCATGTGGCCATGAAGTCATAGGCCTTGGGGCTTAGAATCCTGACTGAGCCACTTCCCAGCTGAGCTATAAACCCTAAAACCTTGGTTTTCTTGTTTATAAACTGGAACTAACAGACCCTACCTGGTAGGGTTATGAGAACAGTAATCACTCACATGCCTGTTAAGCACGTGGAGTGGGCCAGGGACTGTTCCTTGTCTTACTGAATGCTCACAGCAACCCTGTGAAACAGAGCCTGCCCCATTTTACAGATGAGGAAACTGAGGCACAAGAGAGTTATGTAACTTATTTAAAGCCACTCAGCTGGATAATGACAGAACCAGAAGAAAGATGATGATGTAAGTCAAGAGGTTAGCAGTACCTGGTACCGAGCAAGCCTCAGTCAGCAAGATGGCCTGGGTTGTGTCTGCCTGCCCACTAAATGCCCAGATTTGGCAGTCTGCAGGCATGGCTTGGGATGTGAGGGGAGTGCAGTAAGGGAAGCTACAGGAGAGCAGAGAACTGTCTGGATCGTGAATACAATGCAGATAGAGTGTACAGACAGGGTCCCTGTTCTCAGGAGCTAAGTGGGCCAGTCACAAACAATATAAGGACACAGACTAGGAACAATCCAGTCTTGGGATAGTTTCAGATAGGGCTACGTGCTGTGAAAATAACAACAACATCTTAGCAATGCAATAGAGACTTGGGAGGTATGTATAGGATAAGATGGTCAAGAAAGATCTCTTTGAAAACTTGGATGGGAAGGAGTCAGTCATATAAAGACCACAGCAAAAGGGACTCCCAGTGGTTAAGACTCCATGCTTCCACTTCAGGGGTCATGGGATCCATCCCTGATCGGGGAACTAAGATCCCACGTGCTGTATGATGCAACCAAAAAGTAAAATTAAATAAATTTTTAAAAGATCACAGGAAAAAATACCTCAGCTGAGGGAATATTCTATGCTAAGGCCCAACACAAAGAAGAAGGCTGACGCAGGGGGAGCATCGTGGGTGAGCAGGAGAGCAGTGGAGAGATAGGCAGGACTAGATTACCTAGAACTCTGGAGACCTCGCGACAGTTAGGATTTTCACCTAAGTGCAATGGGAAGCCACTGGAGGATTTCAATCTCAAGGGTGCCTCTTACTCGAGCTGACGAAGAGATGCACACAATAACAGATTCCTTAGGACTGGAGACAGCACTTGACCTTGAGAAATGAGGCATCTTCTTTACTCCTGGACGATAGCTTATTTGCATCCGAGTGTCTGAAATCCATACTGGTCCCTTTGCCAACCTACAGATGGGTGAACTCCGTAATGGGAACCATGACAGGGCATCTCTCTGGCAACGTGGGTATTGGTGTGAGGCCTGTGGTAGAGTTTTCTGGCCCAGTGGGTGGAGCGTG